TGAGGGCAATGAATGTACAAATGTGCTTTACACAATTGATGTATGTATGGATTGTGATAAGAGTTGTATGAGTCCCTAATAAAATGATTTAAAAAAGAAAATACAGTGGTAAAGCTTCAAGATCTTGGATTTGGGGAAAAAAGAAAAAGATCTTGGATTTAACAACAGATTCTTCAATATAATACCAAAGCACACAAACAAAATTAGAAAGAAAAAAAAAAACCCAGACAAATTGCATTTCATCAAATTAAAAAAATATATATACATTGTAAGACTTTAGTAAGAAAGTAATTTTTTAAAAAGTTAATTTATAGCCTTATAGAATGGGAGAAAATATCTGGGACCCATGTATCAGATAAAGGTTTAATATCCAAAATATACAAAGAACTTCTACAAGTCAACAACAAATAAGATAACAACCAATCTAAAAATTGGCAAAAGACTTTAGTAAACATTTCTCCATAATACAATTGACCTTTGAACAACATAGGCTTGAACTTATATGCACGATTTTTTTTGTTTTTTCTTCACGAGCTAAAAGATATCACACCAGAGGAATTAATAGGAGATGACTTAATGGCGAACAAAATCAGATGATAAAGAAGAATATGGAGAAGCGGTGCCAGAAACAAATTCATATTCGACAATCTGAAAGGATTCCAATTATTCAAGACTGCTGATTCCTTTTATGATGTGGACCCTTCTATGACAGAGGCACTGAAGATATAGCACGTGGTGGATGAAGAATTGGTACGACACAACATTTTTAGAGAAATGAAAAAGCAGAAAGTTAGGCAGAAATTATGATGTATTTCTGTCAACTTGTACCAAGTGTGTCAACCTCCTGCCTCCCCTTCAATTTCTTCTACCTCTTCTGCCTGCCAGCCGAGACAGCAAGATCAACCCCTCCTCTTCCTATTCAACATGAAGATGATTCATCTTCTAAACCATAAGTTCACAAACTTCCTTGGCCTACTGCTCACTTTTCAGGGAAAAAAAATTAGTCAGCGCACTTTGAGGAATTAAAAACTTTAATACTGAGCCCATAATCCAGGATGAAATGTAGATTATCTGCTGGATCACTGCAGCACCCCCCATGGTCTCATACACTCTGGGTAATGCTGTTGTAAATAGAGGAGGCAAACACTGTACAGATATAGTACTATACATTTATTTTCTTTCTTAAGATCTTCTTAAAACCATTTTCTTTCCTCTAGCTTAGTTTACTGTGAGAACACAGTATAACACACAAAATATGTGCTAATCGACTTATAATATCAGTAAGGTTCCTGGTCAACAGTTGGCTATTAGTTGTTGTTTTTTAAAATTATTTTATTGGGGGCTCATACAGCTCTTTTCAAAGTACATACATACAGCCATTGTATCAAGCACATTTGTACATTTGTTGCCCTCATCATTTCCCAAACATTTTCTTTCTACTTGAGCCCTTGGTATCAACTCCTCATTCCGCCCCCCACCCTTGATAATTTAAAATTATTATTTTTTCATGTCTTACAGTGACCAATGTCTCCCTTCACCCACTTTTCTGTTGTCCGTTTCCCAGGGAGGAGGGTTATATGTAGATCATTGTGATCCGTTTCCCAGCTATTAGTTGTCAAAATTCTGGAAGAGCCAAAAGTTATACAAAGAATTCTGACTGCATAGGGGTTGGTATCCCTAACCCTGAGGGTCAACTTTATATAAATGGCAAATAAGCATATGAAATGATGCTCAACTTCATTCATCCTTAGGGAAATGCAAATCAAAATCACAAGGAGAGATCCTTCCATACGACTAAAATGGCTATGATCAGAAAAACAGAAAATAGTAAGTGTTGGTGAGGGATTGGAGAAATTGTGATGCTTAAGCGCTGCTGGCGGGAATGTAAAATGGTGCGACCATCGTGGACAACAGTTCGGTAGTCCTTCAAAAATTTAACTATCGTTCATCGTGATTGCATAGCAATTCCACTCCTACGTTGACACCCAAAAGAACTGAAAGAAGGAACTTAAACAGATGCACAGCCTCAGTCACAGAAGTCTACAGGTAGAAAGAACCTACATGCTCCCTAACAGATGAAGGGGTAAACCAAATGTGGCAGATATACATAAAAGATACTGTTCATAAAGATAAGTGAATGCAAATGAATATGGAAAACATGCTGAGTGAAATAAGTCAGACACAAAAGACCAATTACTGTATGGTCCCACTTATATAGGAATTATCTAGAATGTGAAAATGCACAGACAAAAGTTTATTAGTGATTATCAGGGGCAGAGGCAGAAGATTGGGGAGTTATACTTAATGGGTACAGCGCTTCTGTTTGGGGTGATGTAAACTTTTGGAAATGGGCAGTAGTGATGGTGGCACTACATAGTAAATGTAGTTAGTATTATTGAAAGGCACACTTGCAAATGGTTAATGGGGGGCGGGAGGGAGGAAAGCAATAGGCTAGAGAGTGGACAGGTGTTAACTTGGGTGAAGGGAAAAACTGTTCTATAAAACGGAGAAGGGAAATCAAAGGAGGAGGGCAGGGCAAGCTATTGGGAGGTTCGATAAGTAGTTGAAGCTGTTGAATACAAAACTGATGATCTGAACCTCTATACAATTCACAATAAAAAGTTATTTAAAATGGTTAAAACAGGAAGCTTTTTGTTATACATATTTTGCTACAATAGAACCAACCAACCAACCCAAGAAAAAAAAAATGCAGAGTGCTTTAGCTTTAATCAGGTCTCCCAAGAGCTGACCTTGCCCACCGTTAATGCTCTTCAACTGCTAACTGATTTCTTCTAGCCCATCTGAGTGAATACTCACCTCCGTAAGGCCTTTAATTTTCAGGTATCCACACAGATAAGCGTTTTCCATGTCCACATGCTGCAAAGAAAGGAAACACAATCCCATTACAAATGGATGGGTCTAGGAGGGCATCAACTAGGGAACATTTTGAAGTTCATTAGCATCCACCAGCCCAATGAGTGCAACTCTCAGGCGGTCAGTGCTTACCCCACCTTGACACTGCACCAGTTCAGCTGAGCCCAGGGCCGTCTCTACTTGTCGTTAAATACCTAGAGAGCAGTGCTTTTCTTGAACACTGGGGACTCTCATTTGCTGTGTAAGCTTCTTTCTATTCCATATGCTGATCTACAGATTTAGTGCAATGCTGGGCCCTGAACTCTGTCTGCTTGTCCTCACAGTATCATTCTTAACCTTGGTCTTTTTTCTCTTTCAAACGTTCTTCAGCCTATTTCTATGTCCACGCTGCTTAATCACTGCTAGGAAGTCACCTCCACCCTTATTATTTACACTAAACACTATCACATATAAATTCTTTGTGAATGGCAGAATATTCAGGAAAAGCATCTTATGAAGAATACAATGTGCTACGAATTTGTTATCAATCAAAATCAACAACAACAACCACTTCCACTGATTCTGACTCACGGCAACCCTACATAGCAGTGGTTCTCAACCTGTGGGTCCCAACCCCTTTAGGTGTCAAACGACTCTTTCATAGGGGTCGCCCGATTCATAACAGTAGCAAAATTACAGTCAGAGAGTAGCAACAAATAACGTTATGGTTGGGGGGGGGTGTCACAACATGAGGAACGGTATTAAAGGGTCGCAGCATCAGGAAGGTTGAGAACCACTGCTATTTAGGGTTTCTGAGGTGATAAATCTTTATGGGAGCCCCATGGAGGGACTTGTAACTTTGAACAGCCAACCTTTGGGTTAGCAGCCCCACACCTAACCTGCAGTACCACCAGGGCTCCTTAGGTTGTAGCCATGTACCAGTAATACTGACAACGTGGTATAAGTTCTTAAAAGTCAACAGGAAGTCTCTTCATGAATCCTACCTTAAAATACCAACCAACATATGACTACATTGGAATACTCAGCCTATTTCATATGGACACTTGAATTTCTTAATGAAATGAGTTAGAAGCCTAAAATAAATATAAATAACGGGCACAGAGTTTGAAGATTAAAAACAAAAAAATACCTCACTGCCATTGAGTCAATATCTGACTCATAGCAGCCACCAAGTACTGCTTACACAGCCCCTGCCAGATGCCTACTCAATAACCAAAGTTCTCTTTTGCCATGCTGGCAGGGTTCTGATTTTGCTCTGGTACCTACCCAGCCCCCACGAGGCCTGGTCAACCCTTTGTGAGCCATTGGTTTACGGGTGAGGGACCCAGTTTCAGCCAATTAAATATGTGCGGAAGTCTCCTGGGTGTTTCCAAGGAAGAACTGGTTCTTTTTCATCCAGTGGTGGGGGTTCTATATGGACGGCAGAACAGATAGATGGAAGACACGAGATGGACCCCAAATTAGCCAACCTGGAACCATGCCACCTCTAAATTTCGTGTAATCGGAAAGAACAAATTCACGTACTTTTTATTTTTAAAGAGGCATGGTTACTTGTAGCTGAAAGCATATCCACTAGGAGATTGCATGCAAATCTATACATACTCATGTTAAATAGGCATCATGACAATCGGACTCAGGGAAGTCAACCTGGGGGGTGAAAGCAAAGTAAGATACAATAGTACTGATGGAAAACTGGGAATGGCTGAATAACGTGGTGACTAAAACTTAATGGCACAGAACTGTTCCAATGAAGAACACTGAAAGGGGACATGTTTTGTACCTGTTCACTGCAGTTTAAAAACAATGACGACGAGGATGGATTAGCTGAATATGAAAATGGAGAGTGGTGATGGGGGCACAATCCAATGAATGTCATTAACATCTCTGAATTGTACATTGGCCAAAAATGGAAAATGTTTTCACATACATACATACATACATACATACATACATACATATATATATGCAGTAACAAAGCGAATTTGAAGTAAAGCCAAAACAACAAAATAATGGTACTGTAGCACATTAAGATTTTAATGTTAACGGGAAATCTCAAGTAGCCTAGAAGAGTTCTGTTGCACTTACAGACCTATGAACTCAATTCCTTCCAATTACATCCTAAACCCACGGCCGCCCCATTAATTCTGACTCACAGTGACCCTATGAACAAAGCAGAACTACTCCTTCGGGTTCCTGAGGCTGGCAATCTTTTTTTTTGAGGTTGTAAATCTTTATGGGAGCAAGACAGCCTCATCTATCTCTGGTGGGTTGAGCTGCTGACCAACATCACCCACTATATCACTAGGGCTCCTTACCCTCCAATTATAATCTAACGCTAGTAGGGCGATCCTTAAAAACTGCAATGAACTTAGCCTGCCAGATGATGTCGGCCCCCAAGCAAATAGCACACTAGCTTCAGTGGGGCTAAGGTGCCCTACAAGTTTAGTGCTGTTGACAAGGGTATTCCATGTGAAAACTCTCCAGGCTTTGAAAACACTGTTATCTGACCTTGGGTGTTAAGACACTGTCAACGCAGTGTAGACATACTAACCTGGTTCGGCACTAAACCTTAATTAAGGACACAGAACTCTAAGCTCTTTTCTGAGGCCTTACGTTTCACGTATGCAGTTGTTCAATTTAATACAGATTGGGGTTTTCACAACTGCTCGAAAGGCAGCAAGGATACGTGATAATAAGATTAAAATGTGAACTGTAAATTGGCTAACAATTTGCATACTCCAGAATCAGAATTTCATTTTGGCCTCCATTCAGCCATGAGTCTCCCCTATTCTGCCCAAATTGATCTGGATGATGGATGGTGAGCTCAAACACACCACAAGACATGACGACAGGCCAGCATCTCAATGAGAAAGACAACAAGGGGAATGCTTAGCAAGAAGGTCTCACTGCACAGCTGTGTCTAGCAGCTGCTCTTTTTCATGTCTTGTTTCAGTGACCAGGCTTCATTTACACTGGGCTTCTTGGATGGCAGAGGAAGAACATAACAGTCACAACAATGACAAAATGGCCTAATCAGAACACACAAAGGTTTAAGGAACTCTTTCGAAAAAAACGGAATTTCAAAAACGAAAGGGCTCCCATGAGCACACAAGTTGATGTTCATTAGTCATTAGGGAAATGCAAGTCAAAACCACAATGAAATACCACTTTGCACCTCCTGAGATGGCTAAAATTAAAAAGATAAACAACAAGCATTGGTGAGGACGTGGAATTGAGTCTAAGCCTCACCCATTGCCAGTGGTGCAGGCCCGTTCGAAGCAGTTAGGTAGTTCCTCAAAAAGTCAAAACTTAGGGTTATCACATGACCCAGCAACTCCACGCCTCGTTCTACTCGAGAACTGAAAGTATGTATGGACAAAAAGCTCACACTCGAATGTCTGAAAGAACACAATTCACAACGCAAAAATGCAAACATCCAAGATGAATGGAGAAATAAAATGCGGTCTACAGTGCGATGGGGAGTTTAGATAGGAGGAGGAGCTTCAAAAGATGTGGGAAAAGGAATGAGAAGATAACAGAAATTTTCCATGAATTTCTGAAGGCCCCTCAGCCATGCTACCACACCAACGAACCTTAAATACCTTGTGCTGATAAAAGAACCCAGTCACACACACACAACCCCACGCAGTGTACGATTCTACTTACACGAAATGTCTAGAACAGATGCATGCACAGGGGCAAAAAGCAACGGGTTCTTAGGGCTGGGGGATAAGTGCAGGTGCAGGGGGTGGGGGCACGCGGAGGGTGATAGAATCAGGCCTGGCTTTTTTATGGAGGAGGGGTGGGGTGGGGGAGACTAATGACAATGTTCTAAAATTAGACTGTGGTGATGATTCCAAAACTCTACGAACCTAGTAAAACTACTGAGGCGTATGCTTTAAGTGGGTGAAATCGTATGGTGTGAAATAGTATGCTATCTTGATAAAACTATTAAAAAAATAAGAAAGAAGCTACGTTATGAAAAGCGAGAGAAGTATTCTGAGAAGGCTAAGTCTGAGAAACTAGTTATGGCTGAAAAACCAGATGATGGAGCAATTTACATGCCACTGACTAGTCTCCATGACAAATAAATAGTGCTCTGATCTAGATACAGGACAGCATTCCTTAACATGAGGCAACCCCCCACCAGGAATCTTACTCAAGTGGCTTCCAGCACAGGGTGGAGTGTCTACCCTGGGCTGTGCTCAGAGACCTGTTGGAGAGCATCAGCTCCTACAAGTCTCACTGCCTCAATCACTCTTTCCAAGGGTTCACAAAGAAACTTGGCACCTGACAGTTCAGAAATAACACTCATGGTCAAAGAGTCACTGATGTGACCAAAGCAGATTCCCTTTGCCCTTAGCTACCCTGCAGGGTGTCCCCATCAGACACCATTAGATTTAAATATTGGCACCAATTCAAGATCACTCCAAACTCATGACGCATATTAAGGTTCTTATTTCCAGATTGCTAAGGTTATAAGGATAGAGAGAAAAAAAGGCTGTACTTTCATATTAAATTCTCACCATTTAAACAAAAGGGGGATTATCCGATCCATGAGAAATATCATTGAGGCTAAAAGATATCATTTTGACCACAACAGATTTTCAATTATATTAAATACCACGGCTCACAAGAGTTTTAAGGTTACAAGGATATAATTATCACAGGGATGCGGAAGAGAAACAAACTATTCCCACAGAAGAGTAAGGAAAAAAAGCAAGTGACAAATGAGCCAGTTAGTGGTGAGACACACACACACACCATTGTCTTTTGGATAGCAAACCAAGAGATGCTGTTTATGGTTTTACAATAAAAATGGGCAGGTGAGCCTAGGGAATGGGCACACTCCACATTCTAGCCCCATTCGTGGAAGGGGGGCATCGGGCTAGGACCGCACAGTTCTCTTTAAGAGGTGTCAACCGGGCAGATGCCTGGAAAGGCCTTTAGGTAGAGTGGGGGAGTGGGGGTTGTTGAGGGTGAGAGAGGAATTGGGACAGGGAGAAGGGGAGAGGGAGGGAAGGGGAAAGAGATGGGGCAGTGGCAGAGGTAGACATTGAGGAGGAAGTTTTGTGGGCGGGAGGCCCAAAGGTGTCTTTACCACCACCACCCAACTTCCCTTGGCTGGGGACAAAAACCAAAACACTTCTAGTGTGGTGCCATTTGAGTGTAAGAGGTGAGGAGCAGGGAAGGGCTAGGAGAAGTGACCGTATAGTTCTAAAGCTGATCGGGGCCTGGCAGCAGGTACTCAGAAATCCAGGTCAAAGTGTGTGTGTGTGAGGTGGGGAGGGGGCATGGAAAGGAAATATCCCTGTGAGAAACAGAACTGGGTGAGTTGGAACACGGGTAAGAGAGGCTGTAGGAAGAAGGCCTATGCCTGTGTAATAAAATGTACAGCACCTGGGAGGTGGAGCAGATTGGAAGTGGCCCCAAAAATGGGGTAGGAGGTATGCGAGGACAGACTGAAAGCCTCCAGTCAGCTGTGCCGAGCTGGGTGCTTGGAGCAAGAAGAGACAGGTGCAGTGGGTGGGTAGAGGTCTGGTGGGATAGGGGCCATAGGAGGCAACAGACGGTGAGGAGGCTAACTAACGGAGCAGTACCCAGGTTTGAGCGCCTGGTCTTGGGGGGTTGGGGGGGCGGGGAGTTTGGGTCTGAGCAATCAATTGTGGATTGGGCGCTCTTAGGCTCAGGGAGAGGGTGAGAGGTTAGGTCAAACTCTCCCAAGAGAAATCTCAGGTCTCATCTTGGGGAGGATTCCTGGGATTGAGGAAAGAGTGAATCTGGGAGAAAGAAAGAGTCAGGTCTGGGAGAATCTGTCACGGGCCCAGCCGTGGAGGGGTGTCCTGAGTCATGTGAATCCAATGATGACTTCAGGGTTTGAGCAGGATTGGTAGGGGGCTGATCTAGGGGAGAAGAGGGCACCAGCCTGGGGGGGGCACCTAAGTGGGTCCCTGGCGGCCAGGTCAAGGGGAGGCTGGCCAAGTCTGAGGGGGAGGTCAGGG